TCATAGTCTATTGCAGTACTACCATTACTATCCCGTTTTATCTGGCTTCTACTTCTTCCTGCACACGCTTCATTCACTTTCCTTCTACTACTACCCGTCAGCGTCACTAACTCATTTAAAACTCCGGGGACAGCCCTTTAATTAAAAAAGTTTACGCTTCTTATTGGCTGGTCCCCGCGTCACATTGAGGTCTAATTGAAAATTACTTAGGTATTTCCATGAATAATTTTACACCATTGCATGCAAAAGTGTATAATCACATTTAATCTCTGCGGTAATTTAATACATTTAAGAGTACTTCGATATATTTATTGTAGTTACTATACATTCGTCTAAAATAGCATAATTGCTAATAGGGAGGGGGAGGGGGGGATACTAGAAATTCTGTTCTGTAAATTTTGACGATCTCTCGACACGTACGAGAAAGTGCAATATTACTTTTCGATGTATCTTTACCTTGAGAAAATATACGTACTATTCGCAAGCATAAAGGCAGAAACGCAGATGCTTCTGTTGTGTTGGTGAAATAGAGTGTACGTTGACCTCTTCTTCTGAAAATGGAGTATATCACATGTATATGGCAGAGGAAAAGAGAATTACGTTGTTCCTTTTCTCGATGAAATTAAATTACTACCTAGCCATTAACGTGAGTAGAATTTCATTACGACTTTTCAAAAAGACGAGAAAGCAACGACTACGTTTTCCGCGGGATTTTTTTTTCTTTTTCCGCGATAGCAGACAGCATATGGCAATCACGCACGACTTTGTACGAAATATCAATGAGAGCAATGTACAATATTTCGCTTTTACTTTTTACTTTGATCAACACAGTCAATATAGTACGTGCTACGCTAAAAAAATGAACACTTTCCGCTGGCAACATGAAATTTCAATTCTTCTGTCAACAATACACCCAGAAAGATACATAGTATGTATTACATACTGTGTACGCAAATAATAATTACTTGTTTTAAATATTTAAAAAATTCATATGTCCGCAAATCTATCACAAGTTTATCACAATTAAGCATCAAATTTATTTAAAATATATTCTGAATCGTAGTACCAAGACTATTAAATTAAAACAAATTCGATTTCCTTATTAATAAAGTCTTCTTCGATTAATTTTATGATATCCTTAAAAAAAAATAAATTCTTGTTTTGAGTATCTATTAATAAGTTGTTTTAAAATTATTCGTAATAAATATTTTGAGATTATTACCAAGAAAATATTCTTTTATAAAAATAACCAATTAAAATTAATAAATTAAAAGAAACAAAGTAAATTGAGTAATTATCTTTCTTAGCAATAGATTGATATCTTTCTGTGTAAAGATCTTGAAAAAACAGAGAAATTTTTTTTATTGTTCCGGATCACATAAAAATCTGAAAAAATTCTGCCATATTTGTGAAAGATTTAATAATGAGTTTTTACTAGGGATGTACCGGATCGTAAAATTAACGGATATCGGATATTCAATGTCACATTGTTTTCGGATATACGATACCCAGTCGGATATTTGGTAGGGTAATTATCCGGCTGGATACCGGATACTTCCCCGGATATCCTGCCGGACGCAGAAAATTATCTCTATCTTCCCAACGTGAAAAGGAAAAGAGGAAAGATGAACTGTGCGAGAAATTCAGCTGAAAAGAATAAAATTCTGCAGCAATATAATGACGCAACTATCAATATAAAATTTCAGCCAGATATATTACTGGATATACTAATAACATTCGCCTATTCGGCTGGATAATGTCGGATACTGGATATTTCTCGGATATCCGGTACATTCCTATTACTATCATCATAAAAGTTGGATTTATTTTTTACAGATTTAAATTTATTTACCAGAATTCACAATTAAACTATCGATGGTATCTTTAAAGATCTCATGTTGCCGGCGGAGAATTTAATAGCCGCTCGTTTAATGTGATAAAGCTGCTTCTAACAAGTACGAGTTTCTATCTTTGCCCGTTGGATTGAAACTCTAAACAGCGCATTTACCGTCGGAATAAATTGTATAGCATCAAGAACGAGTGTTCTCACTTTGTTCGTGTATTACACGTCGAATAAAAATGGCACGAGAGCGATACTGGACAGCAGTGACCGCGTATTTCTCTGAAAGCTTGAATTTAATTCATTTCTTAGAAGCGTTTTTCCAATGGACTCTCGTCCATTTTTTCGTGCCCTGTCTTTCTCCATGAATACCTCGATTAATCGTACGGAATTAAAAGCGTACAAAGAAAAGAGGAATGCAGAAAAAAATGTAATTCAATTAATCTCATACTACACTGGCTTTCGACGATGATAATTGTTCGAAGAACGTGAGTCTTTACGAAGGGCTGATAAAGTGTCTGCAATACCGTATGCCATTTCCAGATATTTTATTCGCGGAATTATAATTTTCTCTTTGAAACTAATGAATTCCTATCTTAGTAAAGATATTTCACTAAAATTTTCATTAAAATTACGGGATAATACATGAAATATGAGAAATATTACGAATTAGTACCAACAGTATGTATTTGTGTTAATATCAGTAATTCAAATTGTATAAAAAAAATTTTCGATTTTATGAAAATTTATGATTTTTCTAAAGTCGAAATGGTACATTTAATTTATCTAAAATAGAAAATTCATTAAAATTTCAACGCGTTTATATTGAAAATCAATTTTGTGTCAATTTCTCAATCAGAATGTTTACTAAAATCTTATTAATATTCCTTGAAAATTCCCAGATTTTCCAAGTATTTTTGATCAAAAAAATCCAGGTAAAGTAGATAATAAATTTTAAATGTAACTTTGAAATAAATTAAAGTGCAAGTAATGCAAACAAACTATTGTAAATTAGTAAAGACAGGAGTTCCACGACTATTTTCTGTAATTGGAGCCATGAAACCTGTAGGATAAGGAAAACTGACTACAACATAGTAATCAGTGAGTTACTTTCTTCAGTTGAGTACTGTCTCGTACTATCAACCTGACTCTTTTAATAAAAATTTGCAAAATACGCAAGAATATATTTACGTGAATATACGCGAATGTGCCTTGCATACTTATTATTATTAGCTGATTGCCAACATTTTGCATTATCAAGAAAAAGAGATCGAAGAAAAAATAATATTTTCAGAGTCAGAATAAGTAAAATAAAAAAATTTCCTTGAGAGTAGATATTATAAGATTCCATAAAATTTCCTGATTTTTAAGGATAAAAAAGAAATTCCTTGAAAATTCCAGGTTTTCCAAGTAGTCATCCCGTTAATAATGAAACGCATTTCTTGTATTGCCGACCGACATAATTAGGTTGAGAACACAGAGAAAGTTTTACGAATCTGGAAGTTCTCGCAACAGCGCGCTGAGTAACATTCCCATTGTGATGAAAATGGCAGCCTCAAGCGTACATCATACTTAAATAGTGTTGTCAATTTAGCAACTAACGTAAGCTACACATAGACAAATTGTTCTGGTTTCGACGCTACGGGATCGTTATCTCAAAGTACTCAAAGTGTGGCAAATTGAGTTTGGTATCTGATAATTAATGCCCAATGCGCGCGAGATTTAACGGTTGTAATATCGGTTTATTACAGTTATTGCTATAAATTTACATTAGCCACGAATTAATTTGTCCTGTTTCGGAACTGCACTTAAAATGCTGCCAACATAGGCTCCGGTGAATGTAATTCTGAATGCAAAACTGTGTTCATTCATTAATATACTCGGGTATTTCTAAATTACATTTGACGTCGAGAAGAATTTGTAACATTCTAGATTAAACAAACATTGCTCTCCATTTAGCTTTATATGACTCTCTTTACTTTTTATTTTATTTATTCTGAAATATCTAAGTAAAATTGTAGATTATACCAATCGAAGTAACTTTGGTCCAAATTAAAAAAGTCTAGACAGTGTATATATGTTAAAATCGGAACATTCGGAAGATATCTTTAAAAAAACTTAAAGACATTTTAAGACGTTTTATCCCGATTTTAACATGTATGCTATCCGAATATTATCAAAATTTGAACCAAAGTTACTCCGATTTTGAACTAAAATTACTCCATTTTATGATATTGTAAATCTGATAATAATAAATTTCTTATTATTATTTTTATAGTTTTTAATTTAATTGAACAAAGAAAGTATATAATTTTAGTCGCACATATATTGCATCAATAAGTTCGTTATGATTTTTTTATGACGAATATTCCGTATGATGAAAATATTTCGTACAATTTACGGAGTAATGAATTTAAAAAGCGAAAGGAACACAATTGTAGGTTTTAAACGAGATCTCGATGGAGCCTGAAAACTCAGAAGCGAGATCTGAGGTTTCTGCGAAATTAAACAGATAGTTTCACGGGTTGCTCTGATGTGCTGAATATCTCGGCACAGAATAATCAACTACAGTTGAATTTGAACTGTAATTTACAAATCGCATGGCATACGCATGTTTATACGCAGAATCTGCATCTCAATAATCTCAGTTTCAGCTACTCATTTTGAGGCAATGGATCTATGAAAGAGATGACATTTTATTCGTGGAATTCACAGAGAGATCCATTACCTCGTACTGAAATAAAAAAAAATTCGAAACCTACCAATATGATGCGCAATGGTATTGTGACGCTACGCTGTGGCTGCTCTGGTAAATACGATTAACCTGGAACATACAAATATAAAATTTAAATTAAAGCGGCGCGTTCACAAAATAATTAAAACTCCTAAAGATAATTATCAAAATTTTATTCATTTTTTATTTTTACTAAAAATCTTTACTAAAATAAAAACATAGTTTTTCGCAAAAGAAAAAATCCTCTTTTTTTAAAAAGCATTTCATACAAAAATCGTCATTTCATACATATAAAAATCTTTCTTTAAATTTTTATTTTTTAAATTGTCTATAGCAAGTTAAATAGACGAAATAATCGATATCGCAAATATGTACTACATACACGGAGAAAATTTTATATTAAGTTTTAATACAATTTTAAATTACACCTTATTATGTCTTGTATTTTCGATGGACCATCACAACACGATTCCGACATAACTTTTACCATGGTAATACTAATTTTTATCATCACATAAATAAAGTAATTTTTGTTAAAAGTTAGTGCTTAAGCTATATTCTTAAATGAAAAGTTAATTTTTACTATGGTACGCAAATAAAATTTGCTAGGTATATATTTTTTACTTATCTTTACAATACTAACTTTTATTCAACAAGTTTTGATTTTGTAATAAAAAATTTTTGCTAAAAAAAAATTTGCTAGGTATATATTTTTTACTTATCTTTACAATACTAACTTTTATTCAACAAGTTTTGATTTTATAATAAAAAATTTTTACTATGAAAGAGTAAAAATTACGTTGCATTATTGTTTTTAAAAAAAAAAGCTATATCATTTAAACTTATAATTGTCATGATAGTCCGCAACTTCTACAACATTATAGTAATTTTAAATATAAAATTTTCTCTGTATATACAATAGATAGGTAATATATATATAAAGAAGAGAAATTACTTCTTGGTTTCGTCATCGTTCAGCCGATTTTAGATTAGATTTTTTTTGTGCACAATCCATATTTTGCACAATATTCACGTGAAAATGTGAATATCACGTGAAAACGTGATTAATTGCGATCGTCCACACACTAATTACCAAATATGATAATCGCACAGTGCTTTGTATGACACTCTCGATAAACATATGCTATTCCACGAAAGACAGAAAATATTAATACTATTAATAAACGTCAGGTACATCGCGGCTTTTCGTTGGAATTATTCAATTTGTGAAATGAAATAGTTATCCTGACATATTTACGCTAATCATAAATGTTAATTAAGTACACTTGATTAATAATTCGAAATTCATCAAACGACAATTGTTCTAAAAAGAACGATATATCGTATTCCGAATAGTAATGCGACAATACACGGAGCGACTCACGCCGTTACTTGCTTGCTCGAATGTTGGTGGGTAGTGGTAGCTTGCCGACTGTGTTTGTGTGTATACAATAGCGCGTTGTATAATACACCACAAAAAAACAAGCAAACAACGTGGAGTTTCATAAGCCAGCAAATTTGCTGTTGCCCGAAATATTTAATGTATTACGACGTGAATTTATACCGAATATATCGTGTTTCTTGTATCTCAAGTTAATTTCGTTAATTTTAATGTACTATTTTAAGCACATACGCACACTTCGTTTCATTAGTGAAAATATATTAATATTAATTATTATATAATATTAATCTATTAATATTTTTCGAAAAATAAAGATTCGAAAATATTTTCGAAAATGTCTTCATTTTTCGAAATATATAAACAAATAAATATTAATATTCTCTCTAAATAAATATTATATTTAATAATTTTTTTTAAATAAACTAATTCAACTATTTAAATTTTCATTAAAAAGAATTATAGTGTAATGGTTAAGATTTGTTATTAATAATCACAATCAATTTATTAACAGTTAAGAAACAAAAATCGTTGATAAAAAAAGATAGACTTATAAGTATTAAAGTACTTGTAAATGGGCCAATAATGACGCAAGTAATGCAAGATAATGATATTATCTTATGCCATAAAATATTTGCACCAATTTGATTGGTGAAAACCAATCAAAAAGCGATTAAACTGATTGAATTAGCTACGGGTATGTATCGGATATTACGATGTGCCATCCTCTATAGACCATATTCATTGATTATGAATTACGACATGCTCAACCGTTGGTATATCTTGCCGTAAAAATCAGCGTTTATCTCGATAAATGGATATTGAAAATTTCACAGCCAATTTAAGACATTAACTCCGAGCGCAGAGGTGGCCGTACCGACCTAAATATCATCGATAAATTTTCTCTTTAACACGTATTTCCGTCCGCCATTTCCTCCTGTCTCTCGTTATGCCACGCTGTCAAGCCCACCAGGCAGTAATAAATTGCGTCCGATACGAAATGACGCTTAATACGTATTGACCAGTTATCTTCTATCGAATGAAACTTGTCTTATTCGTTTCTACTTTCATTGCTGCACTCGTCGATATGCCGAAGCTGTCATCGCAGCCGGTATGTTTTCCTGTCCGCTTTGTGATCGTTTGGGTGGGCATTTCGCCGAAGGGAATAAACGTTTCGGAAAGCACCATTAAATGGTTTGACCCAATGCAATTGCGCAGGTTGGCAAGTTAACCGACTCTACTAAACTTACTTGTCCACTAGCACTCTGGTGCCTATCGCCTTAGGGAACATACGCTGGACAAACTTGTCGGGATTGAAAGTTAAGGATGGTTACGGTAAAGTATAGCCGTTACCCTCATCCTTATATGGTGGTGGCACAGTAAGTGGGAAACTATTCCAGTGATCAGTGAGTAGTTTCATAAGTCGAAGGATGAAGGTATCTAAGGAAACTTTTCGAAGATTATACTGTGAAACCTCGATGAACGATGTTATCAACTTCTTCAAACGTGATTTAAAAGATCTGACGTCTGCTTTTTATATGTAATCATAATTTATCAAAAATTTTTTAAATAGTTATATTAAATTAAAAACTTGTATTTAGTAGAATTTTATACTGTTGAATATTTTGCTATCAGTTTACTGATTACAATTTAGCAATTATTAGTTGCAATAATCAATAAATATACTATAGTTGTATAGATTACAGATCTTATATAATTTGTTTTTAAAGTTCTATATTCTTTACTTTCATTATCATTAAAAAATCTTATATAATTGTTAAATATTATTTATTAAATATCAGCATTTTTAAAATAATATCAGTTTTATCAAGAGAAAGATACAATTATCTCTTACAATACAAGGTATAATTTGGTGGTTCATCCGTTCAAACATAGGTTACTAGAATCCATCGGTTTTTTTATCTATTCAGAATGGTTCAAAAAATCTCTAAAAATTCATCAATATACTTTCAACTATCTAGAATAAATATTGAAACTTCATTTTGGAAAATAAAATGTAGTATAATTTTTATAATTACCGAAAGACTCAAAAAAACTTGCACAAACAAGAATCGCTTCTTCACTAGTGACTTGACGGTAAGAGTAAAACAATGTTTTATATTGCTAATTTTATTATTTCGTATCAATATATATATATATATAATTTTTTCGTATATTATTTCTTATGTCACATTATGTTCATATGTAGGTATTATGACTAAAATATGTCTTCAACATATATAGACACCTGTGAACGCTTGGTATACGAAGATCAGTTTTTGTTGCATGTCGTTAATTTGTCATGGAGTTACAGCGTTTCGAAAATTCAGTACGCGTATAACATTCATGCAAGAAAGCCGCAGCGTATTTTTTACGTAACGTGACAGATACGCTAAAAAAACAGGTGTGAAAATTCGTGTAATACAAGTATTTTGAAACATGATACGCCGCTGTTGAGAAACGTACGCTGTTCGACTCTTGAATAAAGATCACGGGTCGATACAATCGTCAGTATCTTCGCACAAGAAAATCATAGAGATAATTTTTGTTTCCTTCGTTTTAACATGGTTATCAACTGATTTGAGAGGTATCATTGATTAATAATAAAAATTAAATTAATTTCGTATGAAGCTATCTTCGTCACTTAAAGTAGAAGTTGCCGTATGCTTCAAATTACAATATCTTAATTCAGAAATTACAATATCTTAATTAACTCGTAATAATTTAAAACAAATTACATTGAAAAATACATACTCTCACCTTAATAATTTTTAAAATCAAGTAACTATTTAACCGCTTTCTATTTTAAAAAATCAATTTCCTGAATTTATAACTCCTTTTCATAATAAAGATTAATCATACGTTAAATGAAAAAGCTTGAAAAATATATAAATAAAATATGATTAATATAAGCATTTAATAATTAATAAATCATATACGGTCTTTCGTTATTTGAATTTTTCGAACGGACTATTTGTTTTTTATTTAGCGTTCTCAGTTTAAAAATAGTAATAAATAAACAATATTTTAATTGGTAAAATGTTCAAAACCCAATGCAAAATATATATTAAAATTTAAGTATTATTATTATCATCTTAAAACTATATAATAATAATAATAATACACACATACATATATGTATATATAGAGCAATAGAATAAATAATAAAATCGTATCTTTTTCCGTCGTTATAACAACTGAGTATACAAATATTGTTTGAACAGACAATGCAGCTTTGCATCATCACCAGAATACACAACGTACCCTTCCTCTTCCACAAAAAATATAGGAATAAAAATTGAACACTTTGTTTGGTATTATCGTTAACAATGTAGGATAAACGTAAAATTTTGCGATCATATTTGTTAATATTGAATAACTCCGGTAAAAAAAACGTACTGTAAGCCGAAAAAATAAACGAAACACAATCGTCTGCGTTCATACGCTATACATATTTTATCTTGAATATAATATAATTTCCTCCTTTCCTTTGACACATATAGATTGGTGAAATCCTTGCAATTGTCTTCTGGACATCCGATTCACTTTCGTATGGCTTCCTTATCATTGCTTTTAGGATTGTTTTAAGAAAAATGAATGTATCAACAACGGGTGAAATCACATCAAAGATCAAAAAAGAAAACACTGAAATTATTTTAAAATATTTCGATGGATATATAAGTACATGGTATACAAAATAATGCCAGAAACTTTCCGTTTATATGTTTTTTATATAATGTTTTAAAATGAAATTTACATTTCCATAAAACATTTGAGGATTGACAAGATTAAAATTTTAAGCATGACTTACAATATAAATACATAAAATAGAAACTACATTAGAAACTCTACTAGATAATTTATTTCCGTTATTTAGAAAGCAATCGAGGTGCAATAAATAAATTGACATTACGCGAATGCTCGAGTTCAACCCGTGTAGAAATTTGTTAGGGATTTCACTATGTAACATATTTCTGATGAGGCCCTTATCGGGATTTGGTAGGAATGCCATAAGTAAGGCTTCCTTATTTATATTTGATGAGACCCTTATCGGGATTTGATAGGGATGTATTAATTTTGTAAATACTTATTTATTAGGGCTAACTTATAAGGGCCTGGAAAGGATTTATTAGGGATGCTATATTAGTATGTTATTCTCCAGACAAAAATAAGCGACACGTATTTTTTTATACGTGCCTATATGTAAAGGATAAGACACTCCTTGGAAAAAATTAATTTTTCTCTTTCGAAGCGAATATCGTCGGAATTGTAAGAGATAGAAAAAAATTTTCTAAAAGAGAAAAACCAAATTTTTTTCTAAAGAGTGTTTCACCCCCTAAAAGTGCGTATGGGCACGTACAAAAAAATACTGACTGGATGTTCAGTTAAATTGCACGAATTTCTATCAGGATTATATTGACAGATATATCATAACTATACGTTCATTAACATCCGTGGATCATCGAAGTAGCAGTTTCCGTACGATTACAACAGAGGTCAAGCAACGCGAATGGTGGTTCGCATTCGAATGGGTGATCGTTTCAAATTAACATAAAATTAATTCCCGTAATATTTCTTCATAAGGCCCTGATAATTTTTCTTACAGGGCCCTGATAAATTTTCTTTACACGACCCTGATAGTTTTTCCTTATAGAGCCCTGATAGTTTTTCCTTATAGGGCCATGATAATTTTTCCTTATAGGGCTCTGATAATTTTTCCTTATAGGGGCCTGGTAAACAATTTGTTACATGCCATGTAGGGCTCAAGTAATCTGTCCTAATAGGCCGCGATAAATTTTAGGGTATACTTATAAGGCCCTTCTGTAAGTCCTAACAATTTTCTACACGGGAAATTTCATATTATTTATAATAATGTAAAAAATGCATACATATATACCTGCATGGAAAGGACAGTTTTGTTGAAATATTAAAAAATTTAGCTAAATACAGATCTGAAGATATAGTAATTTTGTCGGATAGCATCAAAAAATAATTATGTAAAATATTCAAATTGATTGCTAAAATGTTAAAACATTATGCAACATTACTTATCGTAATTGAGTGGCCTACATGTTATATTTATGTAATTATTTTGATAGGCCAACAAAATTATTTTCAAATCTATATTCATACCTGTAGCTAAATTTTTAGACACTTTATCAAAATTGTTTTTTCCGTGTATGTATTTTTTCGTTTTAGGGTAAAATCAAATATTTTGCGAATTTATAGTACAGGCATTTAATTGTCAAACAATATGTAATTTAATTCGTAAATAATAGAAAAAATATTAATTATATATGAATTTGATTATTGTATCGTTACAAATAATAATTGAAACATATCATTAACTTTTGGGAGAGAGAGAGAGAGAGAGAGAGAGAGAGAGAATTTACTGATCGATATATGTTCCACTTTTCAAAATTTGCAAATCATAATTGCGGTAATTAATTCACAGTCGGTTTACATGTTAGTTGTTTTTGTGTAAACTCGATTATTTCTTCTTCCCTCTTATATAGACAATAATGAATTTTACAAAACGAGAGATTTGATAAGTAATACGAGAGCTTTATTTTAAAATCCTGTAATGCAATAAGTCGTTGAATCGCGTGTGACTCTCACATACATAACAGGTGGGTATGTCTACTCACCATAACGTTTCTTTTATATGTTTCACGTGTCAAACGACTACGGGGTTTCCCCTAGTGACACGGAGACCTTGATAGAGTTCTTATTTTGTATCTTAGATGCTTCGTCGTTTATACTTTGAACCTATCATGTGATTTTAACTCTCCGAAACTAACAATAGGTATATTGAACTCACTTAATTATAAATTTCTTTATTAAAAAGGATAAACATTAAAATTTTTTATATCTATATATTTGGATTATTCTTATTAAAATATACTTAATGTTCATTCTTTTTTAATTATTTTGGTTCTTTGAAATTAATTGCCTTTTAACGTAAGTTAAATGAGTCTTACTGCCCAGCGCCATCAGCTCTAAAGAGGGTTTAAATTACTTTTGTATTTCCGTGTGTCTAGAGAACTTTATTTAAATATAATTCTTAAAATAATATTGTATATACAATATACATAATTTTTTATAATATTTATAATAATTCAACAATATTTTTATAAAATACCATCTATAAAACATTTATATTATAAGTTACTTGAGATTGATTGTGTGCTAACACTTCTAATATTATTTCTGTTGCAGGTATGTATCGAGAAAAATGCGAATGCGTTAGCCAACCTAGTTCAATTCGTACGTAAGTAGATCATGAACTTAGCATCTTGTGATTTATAAGAACGTCGTTCTGTCATTTTATTTCCATCTCTTCACTGAGATAATCTATACACGGGATCCTTATTATCTGAGCCTTTTTTCATTTTATCCTTACTTTTATTATCTTCGTATTGTTTTGCGCTACGTATTTTGCCTTCCACTCGACGTTCTGTTCGATAACAAGCTAGAGCGAACAGAATATAATGTAAAAGAATATATACAATCACAAAGAATATATACAATCTGTCGCCATGATGTCTGGAGGAAAAAGCTGCGCTGTCATATCCTCTGTGTAAGGATAAAGGGATCACATCTTCATTGATGATTTGTGTGCGTTTCTATCTCGGTAAAAGCCGAACGGAACATAATCTTTGCTATGAGAGCGAGGCTACAAGCCGCTCTAAGCGATGACTTCTTATACAGCGCTTTATCTCTATAAGATGCACTTTATACAATACCGCTTCCCGTAAGATGTATCATGCTCGCAACAATCAATTGTGTTTCCATCATAGGTAGCTTTGCTATAACGAATGAGGAGGTTGAATGACGGTGCTATTACGTCAAGTGCCTTAATAACGTTTCACAGAGACTATTTCCGTCGTACTTCGCGCTAATTCCGTACCAAACTACTGGCGGGACTGAAGCTACCTCGACGCGATTACCTACCTCCCAGAAATAAGGAAAAATACTCCCAAGCAGTTCTTTCGTTATATTTGTCACGAGTTGGGAAGTACACGCCTCTCTCCGCGAAGTTTCTTTTTATCGATAGAACTTAACTTATCGCGCGATTTTCATATTCTTTTTTGTCATTTTGTGCCATCGCAGTTCGCTATTGTCGCGACATTTTTATTGCCATTATGTTCATCACTCTCTTCTTCTCTTTCTCGCACAGAAGAGAATATTACATTTAATTTAATCGATGACATGAATTTGTTATATAAAAGCTACATTCAATTAAAATATTGATTAAATACACGCTTAATATAATTGCAGTATCCTATCATCCCATAGTAATTCGATAGACTACATATAAATATCTTCGTCCGTAAAACATGGATGGAAATGGATGATAATACCTGACTATAACATGTATATCAGTTTTATTGCATTTATTGGTTAAGCTATTATTTCTTTGTTAGCAGTAAAACAGATTGATTATATTTCGCGAGTTTTTGAATGGTGGAATTTAACGACCTTATTTTCTCCTCTCCCTTTCAAATTAACTGCTGATGGAAAAATATTATAGATACTTTACATATCAAGAGACACTGGTAGTGCTCGGTGCTAAGGTATGCGCAGCGACACTACCGTGGCTAGTTTACGCAAGATTAATATTACACAGAAAGGACGATTTTCCTAAAATATCTAAAAATTAGCTGGATACAGATTTGAAAATAAATTTTTAGAATTATGACTCTTGCAATCCAAAAGTAACTGACTGTTAGCAGTTAGGGACGTGAGAATGAATTGAAGATCATTCATCGTTGACGAGTCGAAATGTTCAAACTTCACGCACATTACGAATATTATGTTCAAGTATTATTATAATGTTTTCACACATTATAAAATTAATTGCGCTTTGTTTACTGCGCCGTACTCTTATTATCCTTGTACTATTAACCGAAATATCATGTTACATAATTATTTTGATAGTCTAACAAAATTATTTCAGATCTTTATCTCTAGCTAAAAATTTTTATATACTTCAGCAAATCATTCTTTCCGTGAAGAGAGAAGCGAAACGATAATTTTCTCCAAGCTTTTTCAACGATGAGTATTTCTATTACAAACATATCGGAGATGTATTACAGATAAGAACTTGAGGATCGTTGAATGCTTAATGCGACAGCTTTATGAATGTGCGGTTTGCTTAATCGATATTTGCATTAATATTGACTAATCAGAAATTTTTGTCGACCGATATAAAATGTGTATCTTGCCATGAATGCAAACGCGGTTTCGCCTTTCCAAACGACTGTATCCATTATGCACCGCAATACACAATCATACGTATTCGTTTACACGCTGCAACATATGGAAACTCAGATAACCATTTTATTGCTCCGCGATCAGAAATGACTAGCTAGAGGAATCGTTTGTTATCATTGGATATTGCATTCGTGGGCGTTCTCAAAGGAGAATTGTGGAGCATGTCCACCATCGGTTTCCATTCTCGCAATCGAGTTCTCAAGTCCGTGTTGCACAGGTCTCGCCGGCGTGACCGACGTGCATTGTATAACGAACGGACGCACGTTCCACCTGCAGAAGAAGAAAGTGCATAATAAATCTTCCGACCTTTCCTCCAACCATCCGGTAGTACCGGTTTCTCAACTGAGAGTCCGCGGAAAATGAGATTTCCCTGCGGCGCGGTGCATGCGGCGCGGCGTCTCCCGCGCTTTCAAAATTCAAAAGGAGCCGCCCCCACGACGCTCCGCTTCGGGAGAACGCGGCTGGATGCTGGATGGTGAGCACGGAAGGACTGAGGCGAAAAGTCGGACAAGGAAAATCAGTTCGTGCTTAACGGAGAGAACTCGACGGCAATCCGTAGCACCTTGGAGAACTGTTGTTGGCTCCATGGCCGTCCTTGTTATTGTCACACGCAAAGAAAGACGCTTCTTTCCGCGTCCTCCGCAAATATACCCAGGCTCGTGCTTATGCGTCGTCTGCGGGTCTCTCCTGTTATTTTCTCATGCTTATCTTAATGGCACTAGACACAATACATATTCCCAGTGGTTAAGAACTTAGGTATTATTCCAATTCTCTCTAATGTCGGTTTATAATTTACCTACTTAATGCACGTCAAAAATACGTTTTAATATTTTTAGTTATCTTTTAACACCTTTTGATATTAATCTTTATTTATTATATTTGCTCTAAGCAAGGCAAAGAAGAAAAAAAGCACATACTCTCTAGTTTCG